GAGCGGAGGCGGGCGAGGGGTGCGGGCGGCGCGCAGGCCGCGCAGAGAAAGTCCAGGTGGCCGGAGCCCCTTGGCGCCGGACACGCGTCCCCTTCCACTCACGACGGGAGGGGCTGTTGAGGGCCACTGGACTTTGCGTCGGCTCGGAGCCCGCCGTCCTGGGGCCTGCCAGCTGGAGGGCGCCCAGGCGGGGCCCGGCAGGTGCCCGGCGGCTGCCTCGACGCTGCCCTTTGGATGTTTACCGAGCTGGGGGCGGTGCCCGGGCGGGGGGCGCCCAGCTGGGTGCTGGGGCTCCGGTGACTGACCGGCCGTGTCTGGGACAGCGGCGAACCAGTGCATGGTGCCGGCCAAGGACAGGGTGGACTGCGGCTACCCCGAGGTCACCCCCGAGCAGTGCAACAACAGGGGCTGCTGCTTCGACTCCAGCATCCCGGAGGTGCCCTGGTGCTTCAAGCCGCTGCAGGAGACAGGTGAGCCGCCACGCCGCCGGCCACGCCGCACGGCCGCTCCAGCTGGGCCAGGGGCAGGGCCCGTGCCCAGGCTCACGAGCTGCTTCCTGAGGCAGTGGCCGGGCTGCCTTGGCCGGCCAGTGAGGGGGAGCTGCCTCCCTGCTGCCCTTGCCCCCCGCAGACAGGCCCTGCCCCCCACCCCCGGGTGCAGCGGGGCCCAGACCGGGATTTGAGGCACGGAGGGGGCTGTTCCGACCCTTTGCTGCCCCCCCATCCTTCCTGGGGTGACCCTCCTCCCCGAACACAGGGACTCGCGGAGGACGTCTCTGGCCTCCTAACACACTGCCCGCCGCTCCCCACGGGGCCCCGGGGCGCGGGCGCAGGCCCTGACCGGGTGCTGGGGCGGACGCCGCCCGTGACGCCAGTGCTCTGCTTCCAGAATGCACTTTCTGAGGCCCGCCGCTGCCCTGGACGCCTGGCCCTGAGCGCCCTCGCAGGGGCCCTGGCCCTGCCCGCCGCTGCCCAGCCCTGCCTGTTTCTGCACCCCGCCTGGCGCATGCTTCTGCCTCAGACCCGTGCTGGGTCCCGCAGTCTGGAAGAATAAAGGCCCGTGCTCAGCATGAAGGCAGCTCTCGCTCTGGGGTTCCCACGCCGGGG